CCCAGGGCACCCTGGAGGCAAGCAAGGTGCTTCTTGGCATGGGCTTCCCTTGGACGGCCCTGAATCGGGAGACGGCCTTCAGAGGCCGAACGCGCACAAAAATTGGCCGTCAGTAGCTTCTTGCGCCGCCTGGGACTGAGGGACATCTGGACGCGTCTGGGATCTACAGCAGGCGCAACTCCAGGGGAGAGCGCCTTTGTTTCACAATGCTCTGCACTTTGAGCTTCCGCAGCGCGTGCAGGACATCGGAGGTGCCACTGCCTCACTCCAAGAGGACGAGGAGGAAAAGGGAGGAGGAGGAGGAGGAGGAGGAGGAGGAGGTGGAGGAGGAGGAGGAGGAGGATGGGGAGGAGGAGGAGGAGGAGGAGGTGGAGGAGGAGGAGGACGGGGGGACGAGAGAGAAAGAGCGGGAGGACGACAGGATATGCCAGCATGGAGAAAAACGGGTCCGGGTGGAAAGGGGTCCAGGATGTCTTCCCCCTGCGCTAGGGGGAAGCCCCTCGGGGCCCAGGAGCCGTGTCCCTTCGAGGTCCCTCTCCTTCACGGCGCCAGTGAGCATGGGGACAACGAGGCCGGCACCGACTCTCTCCCCTCCGAGGCCGCGCCGCCTCCTTCCTCCGACGCCCTCCCCCTGTCATCATACCATCTCTCCGCTTACCATCTGATCGATTATCTGTTTCGCCCCCTTCCGCTTTCTTCCTCGTGAACTCTCTCTCTCTCTGCCTCGCTCTCTCTCTCTCTCTCTCTCTCTCTCTCTTCGTCTCCTCCTCTCCTCCTCTCCCCTCCCCTCCTCTCCTCCTGCTCCCCCTCCCGCTCCTCCTCCTCCTCCTCCTCCTCTTGCAGGTGCGGCCTTGCGAAAGGATTCCCTTTGAAGCGGTCGTGCAAACGGATTCCTTATGTGGCGACGTCCACCTGCCCCACGAACACGAAGCTGGGCAACAAAACCTGTGAACACACAGATAAAACAGATAACGTTGATGGTTTTGGTTAGGAATCCCGGTGGCAACAACAGAGATAAAACATGTAAGTGTGAAGGTTCTGGCAAGGAAGCCATGTAACAGCACACATGACTTTTGTCATGCATGGTTTTCTGGAAACGGGCGCGCTCCGCCCCCCCCCCATCCCTGCTCCCCCAACCTCCCTGCCCCCCCGGTCCCCCAGAGACAAGCAGTTCGGCAATGCAATGGGTGAAAACACGCGTAAACCATGTGATGCCGATGGTTTTGGTAAGGAAGCCCGGTGAAAATCCAGACACAACGTATAATGTTAAAGGTCTTGGTAAAGAAACCCTGTGAACACACATACAACACATCTGCATAATGTTGAAGATTCTGGTGCGGAAGCAAAGGTTTTCCGGTTCGTTTTTGGTTTCGGTAAGGATTCCAGTTTCGGTGAGGAAAACATGCAAGTACACATACAGCATAAGGTTTGCTGGAGACGGGCGCCCCTGCCCCCCGTCCCTCTGCTCCCCAAACACCCCTGCCCCCCCGCCCCAAAAAGGACAGTAAGCTAGGCAGGGAAGCTGGAAAACACATACGAAACATATAGTTTGATGGCGCTGGTAAGGAGCACGTGTGGATTCCACCAAACAACCTATTAGGTTGAAGGTTTTGGTGAGGAAATCTGGTGAACAAGCACATAATAAATATATGTATGATTCAAGGCTTTGTGAAAATGGAAGGGCGCCGCTGCCACTACTCCCCCTGTCCCTTCTCCTCCTCCCCCCCCCAGGCGCCCGTCTCCAGGAAACCTTGAATTACATGTTTTTGCTTACGCGCGTGTTTCACAACATTTCCTTACCACAACCTTCGAACTTACATGTTTTGCCTCTGCTTGTCGCCGATGCTCCTCACCAACAACTTCAAGATTCTATGCTTTCTGTGAGTTTCAGAGGGCTTCCTTACCAAAGCCATCGCACATATAGTTTCTTGCTGCTTTCACCAGTTCTCCTTTCTGGCCTGCTGTCCCAGGGGGGCGGGGGGACAAGGAGTTGAGGGACCAGGGGCGGGAGGGGCGCCCGCCTCAGACCTGATGTTGAATGTTGTTTCCTTTTTTTTGTACCAATTTTCCTTACCAACACCTTCACCATGATATGCTTCATATGTGTTTCCACCCGAACCACATTGCACTTATACGTTTCATGTGTGGTTGCACAAACCCAGCATGCTCGGCTTCGTGTCCCTGGAGCAGGTGGACGCCGCCAAAGAAGGAATTCGTTTGCACGACCGCCTCAACGCGAATCCTTTGGCAATGCCGCTGCTGCAAGAGGAGAAGGAGGAGGAACGGGAGGAGGAGCAGGTGGAGAGGGGGGGAAACAGGAGGAAAGGAGGAGACGAAGCGAGAGCGAAGATTACGAACAACGATGTGATGGGATACAAGCTTGAGGAATTAGGTGTAGATCGTAGGATGGGGGATTCAGGCGCACAGTGGATGGCAGATGGGGGAGGACGGAAGAGGAAAGAAGTGGAAAGCAAAGAAGGCAAGGCAACTGGTATGATGA